AACTTTCGGCCCCAAAAATTTCCTGTTTACATATTTTTCGACCTAAATGCTATTTGGTCTTCATGCCCATGTACTCTTAAAGGAAAATGCGGCAATTGTGAGCTCGTATTACGATGCCGAATATGCTTAGGTGAAGCAAGGTGAAGTTATAGGTTCGAAGTCCAGAGAAGGTGACCCGACGTTCGTCTGAGGAACTTCAAGAACTTGGATTGAATTACACTTTGATAAAATGAACGTAAGTGGTACTCCAAAGATGGATGGTAGAACGCTTTCACAATATCCGCCGGCTCAACTGACTGATGAATGAAATTGATGAAAAAAAGAAAAGAAAGTATATGATCGGCTGTAAACCTGCAAGATTACCGCAAATTAATTGTGGCACTCGTGCTTGGTAAGTTCGTAGTTCTTAAAAAATTCTCCCTCATGCTGCGATCAGCAAGAGACAGAACACAGATTATTATCGATCAGAATAATTGGTCTTAATATCGGCAGTTGCGATTGGCTGTTTCTGTGCACGCAATGACGAATAATTGCGTTAGTGGATAAGCTAAATTCGCGTGCCTTGAAAATGACAACATGGTCGCGTCACCTACAGCCACCGCTGGCGACCACTTGAACCGTCTAATGTGACCCTTTTCCCATACGGTTCGCCCGCGACCGCTAATGTCGCACAACAGGACCTTTTCTCTCGAATTCGCGAACAAACAAACTTGTTTTGTTCTAAAGTAACGAAATGTATGATGGACCTGGCCGCACTGGAAAAAAAACACATTGGATCTGGAGTCCAGACACTTGAAAACATTGACAAGAAAAAATACTCTTGATTCAATCAAATTTAAGCTTAAATCAAAAGGACATCCGCTCAAATTAAGAGGCTTGGTTCTTCATTTGAGCTTAAATCCTCCTAAAGCCTCGCTCGCACCACGTCAGAGACAAAATACCCTCGACCGGCCTCTTGGAACAGGTAGAAGTTTTTACTTTCGTGGATTCAACCGTTCTTTATGGGCGATCACAAGGGAGCAACAGTCATCACTCTTTTTTCGGCTGTTGGCCTACCTACATGGTGGAAGATGCGCTTCGGATGACGTCGTGAGCCAAACAGGTTTCCCAAACTTCGGCTTGTGGGCGAAACGAGACAGCCAATACGTTGTTAAACATCAACCGTGTAGGTAAGTCAATAGTTTGCTGTCGAAGTCTCGAAAGTAAAAGGTTCCACCACAGCCGAGATACGGGTGGAGGGACTTTTGCCTCTGCACCACACGGAGAGAAAAACTTCGTGCGTGGGACCCGAAGTTGAGGTCATATGCATCTCTGAAGTTTTCGGATCACGCATCTAAAAACTTGAGATGGAGCTGCCAAAGTTCAAGTCAGACATCGAGGCACTTCGGTATGTACCGGATCACTTCAGATGTGTGATCCGAACCCTTCTGTATGTATCGAAGTACTTCAGATGTCTGACCCGAACTTCGGCAGCTGGACTTAAAGTTTTCAGATACGTGATCCGAAAACTTCAGAGATCCATATGACCTCAACTTCGGGTCCCATGCACGAAGTATTTTTCTCCGTGCACTGGTAAAAAAAACACATTGGATCTAGACTCAGGACTCTTGAAAACATTGACAAGAAAAAATACTCTCGATTCATTCGGATTTTGGCTTGAATCAAAACGAAATCCGCTTAAATTAAGAGGCTTCGTTCTTGATTTAAGCTAGATTCTAATTGAATCTAGACTACTTTTTCTTGTCGATGTTTATAAAAGTCTGGACTCTAGATCCAATGTTTTTTTCCCAGTGTGCACGTACGAAGTATTTTTCTCCGTGCACTGGAAAACAACACATTGGATCTAAAGTTGAGACTCTTGAAAACATTGACAAGAAAAAATACTCTCGTTTCAATCGGATTTTTGCTTGAATCGAAACGAAAACCGCTTAAATTAAGAGGCTTGGTTCTTGATTTAAGCTAGATTCTAATTGAATCAAGAGTAATTTTTCTTGTCGATGTTTTTAAGAGTCTGGACTCAAGATCCAATGTGTTTTATTTCCAGTGTGCACGTCTACGAACATCGGAAAGGATGCCCGGAGTGCGACGCGGCGGAAGACTAGGCAACCTGGTCGGCACTCGTGTCTCCGTTGCCCGTCGGTTAATCAAAACTGCTTTTCACTCCGGATGATAATTATTATTGTTTATTATCTGCCATCTCTCCGTTCCCGCTGTCGGGCGCAATTCGCCGCTTACCGCTCGGCGACGATTGTCCTCGCAAAAATGCAACAGAAGCGCCGCCACCGCCGCCGCTGCACTGCCCGTCGACGAGACCATCGCTCGCCACTCGCCAGCCGGCGCTCGGGTCCGGCTCATGCCCCACTGAGCACCCCCGCCCCCCACTCTTCCAACCCCGGGCGGAGCTCCCTCGGATCATGTATTTCAAACATGTTTGCAATGAGCAAGGCGAAAATATAAATGAATAAAATCAAATTTAAGAAGCCATAACCTTGCAAATAATATCACTTCATAGATTAGTTCAGTACTTTTATAGCAGCGATGGTTTAAATGTAAACAGATACGTAACATTTTTGAGGTCCCATTATTTGCTTCTCAAAATGCGTCTAATTGTTCCTTTCGTTTGATTTGATTAAGTCGTCAAACGGCTTGCAAATGGCCCCCTTCACTGGAAAAAAAACTCATTGGATCTAGAGTCCAGACTCTTAAAAACATCGACAAGAAAAAGTACTCTTGATTAAATCAGATTTAAGCTTAAATCAAGAACCAAGCCTCTTAATTTGAGCGGATTTCCTTTTGATTCAAGCTTAAATCTGATTGAATCAAGAGTCCTTTTTCTTGTCAATAGTTTCAAGAGTCTGGACTCTAGATACAATGTGTTTTTTTCCCAGTGTTTTATGAACTTTATCGGTCATATTTATAAAGATACAGAGAAAAAAAATTTAAAAAGCTGGTAACAAGAATAAAGTTTTACGAACATAACCAAAACGTTTCGGCTGCAAATTCAGCCATCTTCACTTGAACCGAATTTTCAGCTGAAACGTTTTGGTTTTGTTCAAGAAATTTTAGCCTTGGTGCCCGCTAATTAAATTGTTTTTTGTTGTATTTCTAGTCACGGGCTGCGGAACTTTTTAATGATTGAACCCGGTACTGGAAAAAGCGTTGTCTCTCGACTCATTTCTCCCTGAAGAGGTGTTACCTCAAATGCAGACCTTGATGGGTTTATAACGCATGAACATCAGTAATCGTGCCTACAGCAACAAGGACATTCATGACTTTACCACACGACTCAAGAGGCATCCCGATACTCAAAATTACTCCTCATTTATGTGTCGTGCTCGGCAATTTTTAAAAAAAAAACCACACTCTCAACTTGAGCCGGGGATCGAATGTACGTTTCATCGAGTTCAAAACTAATGAGTCACGTCATCAAGACTACAGTAAAGCAATCGCACTGAACCGAGAAACTTACTTGAGTTTTCTCTAAGCCAGTAATTTATTGACTTGGGATGAGCCTCCACGTAGCACTCCAGGGTAACGTCAGTGCCTTCCGGAGCACCGACAAGTTGATTAGGAACTTGTATTTGAGGAGGAACTGAAACAATGGAACGGACAACAATAAACATTAGACAGTTCGATACAGGCAAAGTGATAAATCGAAAAAAAGTTCAAGGCCTACCGGGCCTCACGGGTAGAAAAATAGAAAACAAGTGATGAATGCCAACGTCAAAATCATTTTTCCAGTCTCTCCATCGTTTTCTGCGCTATATTCACTGCAGACTGCACCAGGTTTCGGAAGGAAAGGAAGTGGGATTTAGAAGTAAACGAAACTGAAGTTGTTTCATTGAATACGAAATAAACTATGTACAAATCGCGCGTCTTTCATAGATAAGTTCAGCCAAGTCGTAACAAAGTAAGATTACCGGAAAGTAATATTGGATATGCTTTGTTAACTTGATTTTATAAACATTGAAACGCCAACGCCTAGAAACAGTGATTCTAAATTTTGAAATTTTTTACCCCAAGCCTAAAACATTCGCGCGTTGCAAATGTTTTCGTTTAGTTTAGAGGTGAGTAGGGTGTCCCACTTTGAGGGTCACCTCCGAATTTTGATGATGGTACCCTCTAAATCGTTGACCCCACTCATAAAAATAAGATTGCACTAAAGAAAAAAATTCTAAAAAAATTTTTAAGGGTTGCGCACGGCCAAAAACTACCCCCCGGAATAGGGCAAAATGCAGAATTTTGCCCATTTTGACGATTTTTTTAAACAACATTGTAATTGAGCTAGGGTTCTGAAAATTTCACAGTAAGAGCATATGTTAGGGTACTTTAAAGAAAAAATTTTGTTCATGTCATCATGCGTTCCCAATTTTTGCTAAAAATCCTCAAAATCGGCTAAAAACGCGATAATTTCAAGATTTTGTATTTTTGTCTCATGACGATTTTTTCAGCTGACAAAGTTAAATTAATCATGAAACGTACCATTAATTGCATCTTTATACTCATTTTGACCAAAATTCATACTTTACTTTATTAACCCCTCCCCCTCCCCCTTCTTCATAACCGTAAACTCAGCGTTTCCTAAGTTGCGATAGGTGCATGTGATTTTTTTCTTTTTTCCATTAAAGATAATACTTTTATTCATATTCTT